TCTCTCTCCCTCTCTCTTTCTCTCTCGCTCTTATGCTCACTGTCACGCAGGCACTCATTTCCTGCTCACCCTCATTCTGGAGCTTCATCAACATGTCGTTTCAATTCGCCAGTTTCATTTTCACTTTCACTCTCAGTGCCTCACTCCATCTCACTCACGTCTACTCGCTCAATCGATCAGCTTAATAGCTTTATCCACCCATTTACTCAACTCAGCTCATGCTTGCACTCTCGAATTTACTCACTTTACTCGCTGAATTGACACCACTATCCGTCACTATCCACTATCAGTAGGCTATTCTGTAATAGAGCCGCAGATGTTGGTCGCTGCCTATTCACTCAGGCCATCTCCTGCGCTCATTATGCCATTCGTCATACAAACGGTGCATTCCTTGACCAACTTCTTGACTCGAAGAGCGGGCTCAATTCCACATTCATTTATTGGCTGCCTTGCCCCACTCTGCCCATGTCACACTCACTACGCACAAGTGTTCATTTCTTGCCCCGCTGGTTGCAGGAGTTCACAGAGCGCTGCCTGAAGCTTCACGGCCCAGCTCGCTCAGCAGATCTTTATGCGCTGCGGCACCTTTCGGTGCCCCGGCTATTTGCCAGTCTGGCGAGTACGTTTTGGCATGTGCGGCAGTGGAATGCTTCTAGATGCGCGTCAGCAAGGGTGCTATTGTGCATTGCAAAGTTAAAGACTGACGCTTGGCTTGAGAAAGGACAAGCACTCCAAGCAGTTGGATCACATCGAAGACTTTCAGAAGCGTCCCTCGGCAATCTTGCTGCATGGTTTCGTCATGCGACATACTTAGTAACATACTTGTTGATTGTGCAAGGCGAGTTTTCGGTTCACGACTGGTTGATGCTCATGTGCTTTTATCTCGGTTGCTCAGAAAGACGTCGCGACAGGTTGCAACAAACGGCTGGACCAGCTGTCCAGAGCGATGTCTGTGCACGCAAAGGGGGTCGACGACGACGAAGATACGGAGGTGCCACAGTAAAATGCCAGTCATTTGTGAGTGTTCTGTCCACGTTCACGGAGCTACCGATCCGAGAGTTTATTGAGATTTGCAGGTCTGGGTTACCCTTCCCGGACCTTGTTGGTTTGATGCGGCACTCCACTCCAGGTTCAGGATGTGGCTGCGGCGATCGCTCCCTAATCAAACGCCTCATAATCCTCTAGGAGATGGAGGGCTTGAGCACTCTATGAGCTTGTTTCTGTCATTTCACGAAGATTACTTTACAGACCATTTCCCGCACAAGCGCATTCTGTGTAAAATATTGGGGAGGGTCCAAGCTGAGGGCGTCGGGAACGGAATAGTTCAAGAAGGGATCCTCATGCCCTTACTTTGCTCTTGGCCGAGGTCCTGAAGAACTGGCTATAGCACTGACCTTGATCCTGCAAGGGTTCAAGGCTCTGCAGCGCATTTCTTCCGATGGTTTCACCAGCGTGCCGCAATTGACTGCACATGTTGTTGCAATCGGAAACAAGCATCCCAGTGTGCAAGGCTGCGTTTCCGATGCTTCCTTGTTGGGTGCAGACAGCGGCTGTTCAGATATGCTGCAAACGCAGCAGGTGCGAAAGACGTGTGCCCTCAACGAGGGTCTCGTACCTACTCGGACAGACGTCCATATCAGTAGTTGAAAACATGGGGGGGGGGGGGGGGGGNNGGCAGTGTTTCGTGATAGGTTCAGCGCTGGAGTCTATGAAGGACATACAAACTGCATCTGATGCCTAAACGAACTTAGCGCTTGGTATGCGCTGGGGTTGTGTGACCTGAGCAGTTTATTTCCCCTTGGCATCTTGGGAGAAGCTTTTGCTTCATCTCTGGTCTGGCATGTGCTGTTTGGTTTACCGTGGTTTTATCCTCTCGAGGACGAAAGCAGCAGATCCAGCGGGGGGCAGCACAAAGATGTCTACATACACAGAGGAGTCATATGAGTGTATGAGTGTAAATAATATGTATATATATATATATTATACACACACATGCAGAGATAGACACAGACAGATAGATGTACAAAGTCTGCACGTCCATGTGCACACACACACACACGCGCACATTCGCGTACGGGCATTCGTGTGCACCACAAGATTGGCGAACAGGTGTCACGCCTGCATCAGATGAACATCTACGTACTTAGACCAATGTATAACCACATGAACAAATATGCCATAAGCATGATGTGTGCTTTTTCATGCATGCTTCTATGATACATGTGCGAGTATAGTTTTCCATATTGTATTGGGCGAACAAGCATCCCTGCTGAGGGCCTGCACTCGCGGATCGGTTTATGTTTCAGTTGTGTCCACACGTACGTGCAACTGGTCAAGGCGAGACCACGTCGGCTGCCGCTCGAGCCAGGCCAACGGAGCTAAGGGAATGTCTCACAGTTCTATGCAAGACAGGTACTCAGACCGTGTCGTGCACCAGCCGCCCCGGGAATTGCCCTGTGCAACTTTGCAGGTGGTGGCGTGAGGTGGTGTGCCCTGTTCTCAGGATTGTCTGAAATCAAGACAGCGTGGGCGGGCCTGGCGAGATCGCAATACTTCCTGCAGTTCACTTTGACCGGCGCATGATTCTTGATGCTCAGAGGCCTTGTTGTTGAGGGGGTTGTGAAGGGCCACAGGAATTCTCTGCCAGCCAGGGGGCCTCTCCAGCCATGGAGGCGGCCGCGGACAAAGCCGCAGAGAGAGAAGAAGTGGTCGTAGCAGAGGTCTTGCAAGCCCACCGCAAGGAGATGGCAGCTTTGCTAAACGACTGGATGTCCAAACTGGAGTACGCGCTGGTGATGTCGAACTTGCCGTCGGGGGCCAGGTCCCCGATCTCACGTGGAGCATCTAAATCCACTCGGTTTGGCATCAAGCCATCGAAATCTTCCACCAGAGGGCCCAGGTTTGAGGACGAGACCTTGACTGACGACCAGCAATCTGCAGTGGAGTCGGACCTGAAGGCCCCGACTGTCACTGAGCAGGACCAGTTCAAAGCATCACCGACCACTGCATCGGACACCTCCGAGGAAGACGACGTAGTAGAGGGACATGGGATTCGAGCACCTAGACGCCTGGATAGCACGCTAAGCTATGAAGAGGCCAAGATGACTGATGTTGAAATTGCGCGTGCATGGAACATCGGAGCATCAGCAGGGCTCGCCAAGGCCAGCAGCATCCCTCTGGGTTGGTGGCACCCATTCCGGGAACGAGTGGAATCAGTTATGAGCTCTCAGTGGTCGACTGCTTTTTGGACCTTGGCCATAATCACGAACTCACTCTACCTTGGCATTCATCTTCAGTGGAGTTCAGATCACAGAGAGTTCAGGTCTCATAGATATTTTGATGCAGTGCACCTGGGCTATGCCGTCTTGTTCACTTTGGAGGTCTTACTGCGTGTCATCGCCGTCGGATGCTGGTCATATATAGTGGAGAAGGACTGGAAATGGAACTGGCTGGACTTGTTTGTTGTGGTGTCTTCCTGGGTTGAGATCGTAGCAGACAGGCTCGCCTCTGAAGGCGCTGATGACATGCTGGGGGCAAACACGAACTTGCGCATCATCAGGGTGCTTCGCCTGGGTCGTCTTGTGCGGGTGGTGCGCATCGTCCGAGTGGTGCGGCTCTTCCGCGCTTTGCGGACCTTAGTGGCTTCCCTCATGGGAACATTAAAATCACTCTTCTGGTCTTTTCTGCTTTTGTTCCTGGTGATATACATATTTGCCATCCTCTTTACAGATGTGGCGTTGGACTATGCCATCGAGAACAACTCGTCGGACGAGGACTTAATGCAGGTGTCCGGTTTGCATGGCACACGGTAGGAAGCATAGTCCGCCCGGTAAGTTTCCCGGCAAGTGCTGATGTTCTGGTGAGAGCCTGAAGGTTCACTTTGGCAACCTGTACATCTCGATGAACACGCTGCCTGTAGAACATTGGTGTGATTTGAAGGTAAAGCTCGCTGCTTGTAGTTCCGAGGCTGCCGCAAACAACGTCCTACAACGTAGGCCTTGCCCGAGTGACACGTACTTGCACTATGCCGAGGCTCTTCCGTTCGATCTCCAACGGTATCGGTTGGGCACAGGCCGCAGATGCCTTTGCTCCGGCAGGCCTGGCATGCCTGGGCCTGTGCGGGCTCTGGACTTCTTCCCCACCAGCATGGGTCCTGTTTGTAAGTTGGATCAGCAAACGGCGACTTGAGCCTGAAACTGTTGCCAGCGTATCTGCTACCCAACACAATTGAGACCCGAATCCCGAACATGAGTATCCTAAATCGCTAGCTATGTCTATGTCTAAGCAAGCTATCCCACCATAGCAACCTTCAGTGGGAGGTGAGTTCTGGGTCCAATGCTTCCAGTTGTACGTGGCCTTCTGCCTGCTGGCATTGCTCAATGCTACTTGGTCAAGTCATGCCAAGTCCTAGTCGGCCTGCTATGGCCGAATACGACGGTTGCGCGTGACGCAATTCGGGGATGAGAGCAATCGAAAGCGACAGTTCTGAATCCACATGTTTTGTAGTCGTGATCGACAACACGGCCCCGCCCACACAAGGATGGCATGCAGAGCGAGCAGTGTAGCAAGATGAAACGAGTAAAGCACTTCATGGTGTCATACACTCGTCAGGGACGGGCCCTCGAATGTCACCAGGGCCACAGGGTACAGTTTACAGTTCAGCACTCTCGCACCGTGCCAAAACCCTCGTATGCTGTAAGCTCTGGTGAAGTCTTCCTTCAATATGCGCAGTGCTGTCATGCTGACACCAGATGACATTGTCCACCAACTTACTTTTCGCTCATGCGTTGCAGTGATGTTTCTTCAATCTCTTGCCTGACCAATGTAGGGTTGGTCAGAGACTCATGACCCGTGCATTCTTGAGCATCTTGATGCTGCTTTGAATTATGTGCTTAACATGCGATTGCAATCATGCTTTCCTTGATCGCGAGCGAGTCTTTCTGTCAGATGACAAGGACTTTACATGCAATTTTCGTTCGTTGCTCACGCGTGACGGTGAAGTCTCCTCCCTACCTTTTCCGTCGTATTAGGGTTGGGTTCAGGCCCTTTTTTTAGTAGTTCAGTCAAAAGGAGTTTGATCCTGCTTCAAAGCTTGTCAACTTCGGTTAGTTCGTCAGTTCGCGCGAGGTAGCACTGCCGGCACCAGAACAAAGTTAGTTAGTCAGTCGCGCGAGGTCATGACTGGCGTGTTCTGCAACAGTGCTATCAAAGCCGCAGAGAGCGACCACGATTTGGCGGTGCAGTCGCTAGTGCAGACGCGCAAGGAAATGGCAGAGCAGGTCGAAAAGCTCTTCCGTACCATCGACGAGCGTGGCAGTGGTCAGGTGACTATCTCGGAGTTCGAGCGCAATTTTGACAAAGATGCCGTCAAGGTGCCAATACATTGTTTCAGCATGTAAGTTGCGAATGTTTGAGCAAACAGGGACAATGCTGTATGATGTTGTAGGCCCTAGGCGCAGATTGGGTATGTTTGGGTGATCATACGAGGGCTTGGGACCTCGTCCTTGCATCCGGTAAGGCATTCTTTGAAGTCCTCAAGATTGGCGCCGTGGATGCTTGGACCCTGTTCTCCAGTTTAGACAAGGCGGGTCACTGTTTACTTGCGCTTTGGTGGACTGCATGAGATTTCAGACGCAGCTTACCACAATTTCAGCGTCAGGGGCCCTCCACGTCACAAGTTTTTGTGCGGTGTTCGGACGCTGTGGAGAGGATGGGGATCACACCGTCAACGTCGAAGAGTTCACAGAGCGCTGCCTCTGGACTGAATGCAGTTGAACCTGATTAACGGTTTAGCTTCAATGCTGAGGTGTCCGGCAGAGAGCGTCGCTAACTGCCAGCTCGTCATACCTTTTCATATTCCGGGCACCCGCTGTCGCCGCGAGGTTGTTGGAGATTCCGCTGTCGCTGTGTTGTCTTTGTTCAGGCACCGAGGCACAAGTCTCGACATGGCACCCGAGCACTGGTTTCCAAGAGCTCGTTGTGGAAGCCAGTACACTAGATTACTAGATAGTACACTAGCTGTCCGCTCGGCAGACTATAAGGCTTACAGCTGCATGGGCCCGCCAGAGCTGCAGACCTCTTCGCCATGAAGCAGCAAACAGTCCCGAGGAAGCAGACAGCCAGTCAGGGGGCAAATAGGGCAGATGCCAGGGAGTGTGCGATTCGGGTGCGACAGGTTGGGCAGTTTTCAGGAGCTGCCGGGCGCTGAAGAAGATACCGGAACGAAGTCCATGTCTTGCTGCCACCAAGGCAAAGCTGGCGAGGCAGCTGCGCGATATACAAGACCTCCAGGGCCGCCTTTCTTTCCAGATGGCAAGGCATCTTGGTGGGCCGATGTGCCGGTTTAGGGTTTGGCTTTCGGAGATTTCGCTTTGACAGCAGGAGGGC